TTTGAAACACTCCTTTTAAGTGTTTGATAAAATTAAATGCAAATATTGTAGATATGTGCTGAAAATTCCACACTGTACCACTAGTACTGTTTCTGGAATGAAGCAAATTATTATTATTACCAGTAGAAACTCGCCTCGTTTTCTGTTTTTCAAACTGAATCATGGGGATATGGCAAATACACATAGAAAATTCGCCTTTTAATTCTATCTAGTTGTTGAATATTATAAATTATTCGACAGAATTTCCTTTATTATTATTATTATTTTAAAAGCTTTTGTATCTCCCAATGAACATTAAGATTCATTCATGAATTGCCATCGACGATGACATTCTGGAGTCAGCTCTGAAGGATGTGTGTGTGTGAAGGTGGTGTAGATAGATCTGCTACCTGGAGATAGACTTTTCGACCTCGAGTATGCAGACGATATCGTCTTACTGTGCTATGCAATAGCATGCAGGCTGCCCATATCGCACTTAATCAGTTGGCGATCAGTGTCTGTAAGTATGGTATATGTACTTTGCGCCATCTGAGTGCAAACTAGTACTGTTACAAGATTGACAGGAGCCTGTACCTGCACTCACTCTTGCTTGCAGGTGAACCGCTTGAAGTTGTTGATAAGTTTGTGTATCTGAGTAGTTGTGTGAGTGCTGTCAGGGAGGGGTGACGGATGAGATTTCCAACCGTATAATGAAGGCTAGGGTGGCATACATCAACTTCAGTCACCTTTGGCGCCGTCACGACGTTAGCCTGGCTGTCAAAGGTCGGGTATACAATGCTTCGGTGCAGGCTGTCTTGCTCTACGCCTGTGAAACCTGGCCTCTCCAAGCTGAGGATGTTCGGCGACTCTGCGTGTTCGATCTTCACGTTCGATGGCATCATCGCGTGGGTAATTCTGAGGTTCGCCTGCGGCGTGTGTTTGAACACAGTGGGGATCACCATTCATTGAGTGTCGTCATCTGGAAACATTGGCTTCGGTGGCTTGGACATGTGCTGCGAATGTCATCTCAGAGGCTTCTATACAGGTCTCTGTTCGCTAACCCTGGGAGGGGAGGGAAAAGGCAGAGGGGTGGTCAGTCCATGACATGGCCATGGTACTAAATCCCCTTAAACGCCACTCAAAATCATCAAGACTAACAAATTCTAATGAACTAAAACATAGATGGATTAGATAATTTAAAATTAGATAATGAAGAAAAATGGTTAATTTTGACATTGTCAGTTTATATACACGTATGCCAGTAATAAATATAGCTATAGAGGTAGTCAGAAACGAACTCATTTCTGCCCAAGAACTTGAACTTAGGTAATGTTAAAAAAAAATATTAATAGTAGTGATAGTGATAATAATAATGATAATGATGATGACATGCATGTCGAACATGTACAAGACGAAACCAACAATAAGGAATCTAAATCATCAGTAGTAATTCCATACAAGGAAGGAACCCCGGAAACCACCTTACGCAGAATTCTTAACAAGGCAGGCAGGAATCAAAGTGGCTGACATTCAAACCGACCACAAACTCAATTAGAAACAAACATTGTCGGTTGAAGGATCAATCCTGTGGAGCCTTTAGGACAAAACAATTTAGTTTATGTAATACCCTGCAGCTGCAATGATTGTCAGGTCAAATACATAGATCAACCTAGTAGAACAGGGTCAGTGAGTCAGACTAGCCGAGCATAAAAACCTATCAAAATCTAGATTAGTTGACCCGAATAAGATAAGAAATCTGGAGAATAGTTCAGCTATACCACTCACTACATGCAATCACACACAACCATACAATGTAGGATGGGATGGGATAAGATGACAGTTTGAAAATCTAATATAACAGGGTGGAGGGAGGGAGAGATTGATAACGGAAGCTTTGTTTATCGAATCAACTAAGAGAGAATACGTGTAACAGGAATGATTCAACACCTGTCCAGCTGGATATCTGGAAATTCTACTACCCCAATAACGACAAATAGGAGAGGACAAAGAAAACTATGAAACTCAAGTTTCAAAGTCGTGTGATTATAATTGATTGGTAGGATTATGAATAATAAATTTTGTTCGAAACGTCATCCAATAATTACTAATACTGTTCCTGTGACTGTGTGATACATCTAATAAACAAACTAATATGGAATTACTTACTACCACCACAGTGCCCAAGTTTTACACATATATTGAAATAAGAAGTTATTCACAATGTGATGAACAACCTTCGAGATGAAATTGTGAAACCATTGGCATAATATCTATAGGTGATGTTTCAAAAGATATTATTATTTTATACTACTTTAGTACACATTACAGGAACTCGCGCTCTGAATATACAAAAAAAGAAACAAGGACCAATGTACTTTTATAAGGGGGTTGTTCTATGTTACATTTAGAGAGTTTCAAGTTCACAATGGAATTTGAATGAAGCAAGAACAACAGTGTTGTTTGTGCAGAATAAGAAGATGGTACCATCATTGCTTATGTCGTTGGCTTCTCTTCAGCTCAGCTGCTTACAGCCTAAATAAATTATGAGGTTTATGCACAGAAAAGTTTCAATATAATTGCAAATTTTACACGATGTCAGTTGACAGAAAGTTCCACAATTAGTGAACACTGCTCAGAAAATTGCGCTTGTATAGTTTTTATACAGCCAGTTGAAGTTTAAACAAAAATGAGTGTATGCATACAATGGTAAAGGAGTTACGTAATAAAGACGAGAGATGCGTAAGATGCAGAGTGACTAATAAATTAGGTAACAACGTACCACAGAAACAAGAGACAAGCAAAATTACAGATTATAAAAGAGGATGGGTGAGGTTAAAGACAAAGATTACGTAATCAGATGAGAGAATAAAGACATCCAGTTACCAGGATGGACAAGGAAAGACTATCATAACTGCTTCTTCTTTCTGAACACATAAATCTGGTTACAAGTGTTTGATCGAAATTGCTTCGGCAAAGCAAACTTGAGAAGAATCGAGAGCTCCTTTGTCTATTGAAAAATTTTAAAGGATTTTGCGATTTCCACCCACCTCATGACCTGTATCGAGGAGATGTTTGGTAATAGCGCTCTATTATAAAAGTTTGTTCTCCGTTGAGACGTAGGCTTTCTGGCACATGTTCAGAAAATCAGAGGCTGTAAGCAGCTGAGCTGATGAGAAGCCAACGAAATAAGCGATGATGGTACCATCTTCTTATTCTGCACAAACCGCCACTGTTGTTCTTGCTTTATTCAAATTCATCAAGGTGAATAAATGCATGAAGTTTCAGAAGAGAAGATTATCTTTTTTACATTATGTCAATGTCTTCAGATCTTATCGGTCGGTTGGTCGCTTTTCGACATAAAACTTTGCACATATGTGCGGCAGTTCAAGTCACCACACTCCCTCCATGTGGCACACAAAGCAAGAGAAGGAAGTAGAAGAAATGCATAATGGAAACAGTAAACAGAGGTGTGAGACAAAGGAAAAGTAATAACGAAGAACAAAACAGTTTCATTGGTAATCATGAGTCACAAGGTGTGGATGCATCTGCGCCACTGAGAACGATTTTGAGCCATGTCACCATGTCACCCCAATATTGCTCACCTTATTATACAAATTCACACGGGAGATAGAGCGAACGCAGGCACCTATGATCGAAGACAGCTAATCTTTTCATGTCTTCTGCTCTAAATGGCCAGGTCTCGCTCACAGCCATAAAGGAGGACGGAGCGGACTGCTGGGCAGTAGACACGCCCTTTCGTCAATAGTCGGATATTCCGTCTACGCCAGATGGCGTAAACTGGCATATGCGAAACTAACCCTCTGTATCCGTACTGAAACATCGTCAGAGATCAACCCGTTGGCACTGGCTGATGGTAATTCTAAAATAAGTGAAGCGGTCAACACGCTCCACTAACCACTTAACTCCCTATTTCTAAACTAAGAGTCAGTGTAGTCCAGTCAGTTCTGTAACATCATCTTACATTTGGTAGTATCAACTCGCATGCCAAACATTCGTGGATTGCTGCTCGTGTTCAGAAGACCGTGTCTGTATTTTGTCAGCCTCTTCGCCTAGAAGGACTATATCGTCCGCATATACTAAGTCGACGAGATTATTCCCTGGTAGCAAGTCAATCCCTGAGTCGCTGAAGTGTGTTAGAGTTAAGTCCATTAGTACGATATCTATGATGAAGTTGAATAGAAATGGGGATAATGGGCATCCTTGACGGACGCCACTAGTCGTCACCACTTCAGATGACAACTCGCCATAAGCCCTCAACTGGCTGACTGCATGAGTACGAGTAGAGTACCTTAATCAGTGCAATATATTTTCTCGGCATTCCCTTTACCGCCAAGATCTTATACCACACCAACACACCAACAAAACTAATCTAGTAAAAAGCGTGACCTCTAGATTCGATAAAAAGCATACACACATTTTCAAAAAGTGCAGAAAAAACAACAATAATAACAACAACTGAGAACTAACTTACTTGTACATCCTTCGGCTTACTGCCTAAAGTCGACAAACTATTTGCACGACTGCACCACTTTGATGGATCCGGTGGCTGTCGTTCACCGACTTTGCGTAGCTGAAAGCCAGCACGTATAGCAGAAAGTAAATCCTGAGGAGGGCACTGAGGCATAGCACATCGTGTAGCAGCAGTGTCCTTATTTGGCAGCAGAGATGATGATGATGATGTTTGCTCCCTTGTAACTTCAGGGATTGATTTTTGAGGTGCCATAAAAGCAGGCAATGGTGGTGGTGGAGGAGGAGGTGGCGGCGGCGGTGGCGCTGACTGAACTGGTGGACTTGGAAGAGAAGTCTGCGGTGATGGAAACGAGACCGGTGCTGCTGGAGGAGGCAGTAGTGGAGGAGAAGCCGAGCAGTGGACTGCTTTTTGACCATTGTGTCCTTCAGACTCGTTGATATCTCCACTATGCGAAGATGATTCAAATAAATTTTTATCGCCAAAAATCGGTGCAGGAGGTGGAGGCAGATCATTCAGCATCAGTGATGACTAAAAAGCAGATGAATAACAAAAAAACAGTTGAGCCATAATAAGAAAAGCAAAAGATTTGGAATAGTTTTGCCCCCCGGACTTACTTAACCCTAACACACTTCAGCGACTCAGGGATTGACTTGCTACTTGACTGGGGAATAATCTCGTCGACTTAGAATATGCGGACGATATAGTCCTTCTAGGCGAGGACGCTGACAAAATGCAGACACGGTCTTCTGAACATCTTGAGCAACAATCTTCGTATGTTTGGCATGCGATTCGCCCCTGTAAAATGTAAGATGATGTTACAGGATTGGACTACACCGACCCGTAGATTAGAAATAGGAAGTGAAGTGGTTGGTGGAGCACGTTGACCGCTTCACTTACTTGGGAAGTACCATCAGCCAGTGCCAACGGGTTGATCTCTGACGAAATCTCAGCACGAATACAGAGGGCTAGTTTCGCATATGCCAGTTTACGCCGTCTCTGGCGTAGACGTGATATTCCTGGCTATCGACCAAAGGGTGGATGTACTACTCAGCAGTCCTCTCCGTCCTCCTTTATGGCTAGCTGTGAGACCTGGCCATTGAGAGCAGAAGACATGAAAAGATTAGCTGTCTTCGATCATAGGTGCCTGCGTTCTATCTCCCATGTGAAGTGGTATAATAAGGTGAGCAATATTGAGGTTAGGCTTAAGTCGAGTGCTAGGTAAGTAGGAGGGGAAATCAATCGTCGAGGCTGTGAAGCTTACATTGACTGAGATGGTTACGACATGTGTTACGCATGCATCACTAGTCATCACCTTCCTCGACTGATAGGCAATGTTAGCTGACATAGGATTGGTCAGGCTGGAAAAGAGCTAGCGGCAGTCAAACCAAAACATGGCTTCATCAGTCAATGAAATCCACAACAGTTAGTTTAACCAGCCAGCCACGTAGGAAGGTGTAGACTGTTCCTGACTGGTTGGGGTCCTCGGGACGGTAAAAACCAATGAAGGCTGGAAACAATTGGTGATATGGCTCAAAATCGTTCTCAATGATGGCTGGCTGGCGCAGATGCATCCACTCCTTGTGACTTATGATTTCCAATGAAACTGTTTTGTTCTCCATTATTACTATTCCTTTGTCTCACACCTCTGTTTACTGTCTCTATTATGCATTTCTTCTACTTTCTTCTCTTGCTTTGTGTGCTACATGGAGTGGAGGGAGTGTGGCGACTTGAACTGCCGCACATATGTGCAAAGTGGTTCTATGTCGAAAACAGACAGACAGACTGACATTTGACCGTGAAAAGGAAGTAGGGGTAACTGAAATATACGAAAGTGTGAAATATACTTAAATATACTTACCGATTCCATAATCTCAGCACCACACCCCCACCATTGACATACTGAGACGACTGTCTCATCTGAGTATCATCTTGCGTGTGCATGGCTGATGATGATGATGAAAGCGCACAACTTCCATTTTGTGAAGACAAGTCTCTACTAGAATAATTATCACTGTTAGGAAATGAAGTTTTGTTGAAACCACCACCTGCAAACAAAGTTAAAAAAGTGAAATCCACCATTTACTACTTACTATTGGCAGACAAAAAATGAATAAATAAACAAGCAGATTAAAAAGATGATGAGAAAAGAAACTCCATTATGGATAAGATTTTCTATTGTGATAAACTGTCGCACACAGTGTGTGTGTAGTGTTATACACTAAGTAATATTAACTGATGGGACCACACACTTCGAGCACAATTCACATTATTGCCACTCATAATCATCATATCAAGTCACTCACTCACTCACTTACACAACTTTCGTCTTCCTTCATTTATATACATGAGTGGAATTGATGATTAGACATTTGAATACAAATCAGTAATATGGGATAATGTACACTCAGAAATAATAATGATAATAATAATATGAGTGTTATTCATCAATTACAATCAGATGGGAAATATGACTAGTGTTTCTTCTATAGTCAAAATAAGTGAGTAACTTGTTAGAATGTTGTGATGATGTAGGTGAAGTGAATTGAAATAGAATACAATTTAAGATTATTTATTATCCTCCTCTGATTTCACTGACTGACTGGTGGTAATAATATCTTCCATGCATATTTCTGGTATTGGGTCATTCCTATTGCATGTGTTGGGTGTAGGTAGACTCGATGAACCAGCCAGGATTCAGTAATCAACCTCTCTCTCTCTACACCAACACAGATTACTTCTTAGAATTCTGACTCTGTCCCACCATGCTATTGTGTGGTTGTGTGTTAATGCATGCAGTGCAATGTAGTGCTGAGTTGGTTTTTCTAAATTACTCATCTTCTCGGGGTCAACCATTCTCACCTTAGCTAAATTCTTATGTTCCGACAATCTGACTAACTCCGAACTACTTGTCTGACCTAGGTAGTTGATCTCGAGAAGATAAGTAATTTAGAAAATAGCTCAGAACTACATTGCACTGCATACCTAAACAGACAACCACACAATAGCATGGTGGCAGAGGGTTAAAATTCTAAAAAGTAATCTATGTAGGTGCAGAGAGAGACTGATTACTGAATCCTGCTTAGTTCATCGAGTCTACACACAACACAACACATGCAACAGAAATGACTCAATGTAAATACCAGAGATATGTATGGAAGATATTATTACCACCAGTCAGTCAGTCAAATCACAGGAGGATAATAAATAATCTCAAATTGTATTCTATTCCACCTCAATTCACGTACATCACAACATTCTAACAAGTTACTCACTTATTATGACTATAGAAGAAACACTCGTGTTATTTCCCATCTGATTGTAATTGATTGATAACACTCATATTATTATTATTATTTCTGAATGTACATTATCCCATATTACTGATTTTTATTCAAATGTCTAATCATCAATTCCACTCATGTATCAATGAATGAAGGAAGACAAAAGTTGTGTGAATAAGTGAGTGAGTGAGTGACTTGATATGATGATTATGAGTGTCAATAATAGTTTGTGCTCGAAGCGTGTGGTCGCATCAGTTAATATGACTTACTGTATAACACTACACACACACTGTGTGGGTGACAGTTTATCAAAATAGAAAATCTTGTCTGTAATGGAGTAGTTATACGCTACCACACCACAAAGTGCCCAGGGTTTTATACTTACATCAATATTACACTATTCACATCGCAGTAGAAATCGTAATTATTAATCACAGTTGTATAATGCAGTCACCCACTCACTCACTCACTATACAATCGCTGTTCTTGTTCATAAGGGTTACACACATAAGAGAAGATCTCAAGGAGTCACACGTTCTGCTTGAGATACTTAAAACAAGTACTAATAAGCAAATTAGACGACTTATATTAAGTTAAATTAGTATTACCAAATGCTCGAGAATTGAGCTAGTAATTGTCTTACATTGTCCCTTTGCTAACCTGGCGTGTCGGATAATGTTCAGAGATGCGTTTGGAAAGTGTGCGACCGCTTTGTGCAGGCGGCCAATATAACTAGTTCCACACGAGCAAGTGAATTTATAAACACACACATTGAGGTGGCCTGTCCAAAGCGGCAGCAGTTTATCCTTCACACATCCGTTGATCATTTGTCGGCTGCAGAAATTGATACGTAGCTCAACCATAAAGAAGGCTTTCCTCACAGTGATCTGCATAAGCAGGGATTCTTCAGGATCTCAGCTGCAGTATAACCTTTAAATTCAACACTCATAAATAGCAGTTTCTTCGGTACCGTCTGTATTCTTTCTTTTAGTATTACTTTTATCATGTATTCTTGGGATTCATTTTATATATATTTTTTTAATGTTGCTGCTGCTGCTGGATTCAACATAGAACTTGGCACCGAGGTGCAGCAGTTCGAGTTGCCACGTTCCAAATACCACACAAAGGTAGACAGGAAAATGAGAGCAGAGAATCAATAGAATTTAGATAAGTATAAGATTGAAACAGAATGAGTAATGGTAGAAAGGAATATGAAAGATTACACAAGAGACTGAATACATCTGCGTAGGCCATTGACAACGATTTTGAGCCATGTCACCTATTGACTGTCTCCAGCCATTGATTCTTAGAGTCCCGAGGGCGGGCCCCAACCCGGAAGTCTGCATCTCCCTCCCTACCTGACTCAGTTTAACTGTCAAAGATTTCATGGATTGATGCAATGTTTTTGTTTGGCGTGGCACCACTTACTCTTCCGACCTGCACTTATATCAGCTAGTAATGCCCGTCGTGGGAGGCGATGGCTAGGCATGCGCAGCACGTGACATTTTTTTTAATGTGGATAAGTAAGAGAGAGAAAAAAGAAATATTTTCAGCTAACCTGCATTTTTTGTTAGATCACATTCATTCATAAAGGCTGGAGGTGGTAACGGTGGAGGTATAGTAGTATGCGCAGTATGCGTCGGGATTTGTACGGGAAGTGTAGGCGGCGGCGGCTCTGGCAGGATCACCTGATGATGATGATGATGATTTGATGCAGGTTCATGACCACCACTGTTTATGACTGAAAACGGATTGATACCATCCTGCATGGTGGACACCTGTTGTCTGCCAGACTGATAATCCCCTCCTTGCTGATCTACCACCTTGTACTGAACATCATCTTGCATCACATGATGATGATGATCTACTTGCATTGATGACTGGGCGACAACAGCTGGTGGAGGTGGAGGAGGTGGTGGCGGCAGTGGAACATTCCCGAAATTAGCATTATTATTACTGGGGAATTGGAGTTGACCTCCTGCTGGTGGTAGTGCTGGTTTACCATGAAGGACAGTGTGATCTCTATCCATCTGCAAAGTGGCATTCATCATTGAACCGTTCTGATCATACACTACTGGTGAAGAAGAAGAATGATTGTTGTTGTGACCACCAACTCCTGGTTGTTGAATGACCAAGTGATGATGATGAGGCTTTTGTTGAACAGCAGCTTGATTGGTGGAGGTATTTTTTTGAACAGTAGACGACGACGACTTTGCTTTCACTTTTGGTCGCTGAAAGAAAGAAAGAAATCGTCAAACGGTTTTGCTTTGCTTTTCTTTTTAGTTTCAATGTTAAGGGGGATCTCTACTAGACATTTACATTTAAATTGTAAAAAAAAAGTGAAGCGGTAGAGCACGTTGACCGCTTCACTTACTTGGGAAGTACCATCAGCCAGGGCCAACGGGTTGATCTCCGACGAAATCTTAGCACGAATATAGACGACTAGTTTCGCATATGCCAGTTTACGCCGTCTCTGGCTTAGTAGACGTGATATCCGACTATCGACCAAAGGGCGTGTGTACTGCTCAACAGTCCGCTCCGTCCTCCTTTATGCCTAGCTGTGAGCAAGACATGGCCATTGAGAGTGGAAGACATGAAAAGGCTGATTAGCTGTCTTCGATCATAGGTGTCTGCGTTCTATCTCCCGCGTGAAGTGGCATAATAAGGTGAGCAATATTGAGGTTAGGCTTAAGTCCAGTGCTAGGTAAGTAGGAGGGGAAATCAATCGACGAGGCAGTGCAACTACATTGACTGAGATGCTCAGGATATGTGTTACTTATGCCTAGTCATCGCCCTCCTCGGCTGATGGGCAATGTTAGCTGACATAGGATTGGTCAGGCTGGAAAAGAGCTAGCTAGTAGTGGTTAAACCGAAACATGGCTTCACCAGTCAATGAAATCTACAACAGTTAGTCTTAGCCAGTCAGCCACGTACGAAGGTGTAGACTGGCTTCCTGACTGGTTGGGGTCCTCGGGTTGACGGTAAAAACCAATGAAGGCTAGAAACAATTGGTGATATGGCTGAAACTAATCGCTCTCAATGGCTGGCTGGCGCAGATGCATCCACTCCTTGTGACTTATGGTTTCCTATGAAACTACATTGTTCTTCGTTATTACTATTTCTTTGTCTCACACCTCTGTTTACTGTCTCTTTCATGCATTTCTTCTCTTGCTTTGTGTGCTACAAGGAGGGAGTGTGGTGACTTGAACTGCTGCACATCGGTGCAAAGTGGTTCTATGTCGAAAACAGACAGACAGACAGTGAATAAAAGCACCATCATTAAACTGGAACACTAACATGTAATAACTTTGTAATTAACATGAAAGCATGACTGGTGGTCATGAGTACCTGACAGACATGTTATAGAAATATTTTTTTTCAAGCAGTTTCGCATACAGTGAAACCTAATCTACAATACTGAAAGTATGCACAGTCTGCAAAATGAGACGTTTTAAAAAATATTTTAAAAAAATAGGATCAAATATGAAATATTTAAAAAGAAAACTATATCTAATCGGTATGCTGTAAGCTGTAAGCTCTCTTGTAGCATCATATTTCTAGATATGAAGACATACGTTAATTACACTATCACTATCATTGCCGCGTCGGTGGCATAGCGGTTAGGACGCTCACCGACCATGCACATGGTCCGGGGTTCGATTCCCGGCCGACGCACTCCTTTACCTCGTTAAGCCAGAACTAAAGGCTGGTAAAGAAGGAAGGTTGGGCATGTGGCTAGCGACCCCATCCTGTAAAAATAAACACTGCTACAGAAACTCCAAGCTTCTAGCTTGAAGCCCTATTTTCCACTGGGGAACGTGAAGGAATAAAAAAATGGACATTCAACTCAGCTTTTCACCAATTCCATGTATACACCTCAAGTTTATTTACACAATCGTCAAGTAAATGGCCTTCTGTGTACACAGAGAATAAGGAGCATCTTTTAAATTTTTTTAAAAAACTATTCCAACAGTTGGTATGATCACCAGAAGTTTTAATTTTGCTCGAAATATTACCAAAAAAACAAAAACCTATCATTTCGTGTAAACTATTGTGATCTTGTTACAGTTGCCCCGACAAGCACCTAAAAGGTGAGGAATTCTTCCTAATACAGAGGCCCGTAAACCGTAGTATGAGTTTCTGAGTTAACTAACACTACACTACAGCTGCGTGTATTATTTTCATTTTAAAAAAAAAGGTCCAATTAGATGTCACGTGTGTGGATGGATGTCCCACCAACGACATTAGTTGGAGTCGCGCTGAAATCACGAATTGGTAGAAGTTAGAATTCATGAGCTATTGAATCGGGTCCCAGTGGCTGAATGGTATACGAGCTTGCCTTGTAACCGGAAGGTCCTGGGTTCGAATCCCAGTGGGTGCGTACTCCCGATGATTCCCAAACTAGGATGAAACAGCAGCTGTCCAGTACTCCCTGGTTTTCAATGGTTTTCTAACTGATATCACTCCGTGATCAACTCGTAAAACTTAATTAATCCTTACAAACCAAACTATAGAAAATTAAAAAAAGAATTTTGTGTACAAAAAAATGATCAAAAGTTACTTTTTTCTTTGCAGTTCTTTTATGTTTATGATCTTGCAGCATTTCTTGACTCCATAGGTCGAAGAAGAAACTTGGATCTGAGTATAATTTCATACTGATTTTTTTGTCATCTCTAAGAGCATCCATCTGTTGAAGTGCAGGAGCTGGTTCAGCTTGATCATAATGTGACTGCATTGAAGGAGGTATTGTATTTCGATTTAATACCTAGTGATGTTGTGTAAACAATAAATAAAAAAATACAACTCACTTGACTATCTGTTGGCTTTTTACTTGTAAAGACTGGAAGTTCAACTTCTTGCACTCCAGCAGTGAGATCTTCATCTCCATTACGTGCCATCTGCATATCTTCATGAAGTTTACCCAGACGATTCTGTAGACGAGCAGTTCTTTCAACAAGTCGAGAAAAATCACTAGTGAGTTCTTCAAACATATTGTTAGCTAGCCGACTAATGGAGGCTATCTGCCGCATAACATTGCACACCGTCGAATTGACGACGAACTCTAATTCGTTGTCTACACCATTTGGTACAACAACCTGACTTAGTTTAACTGGTTGAACTGTATGCTTGGGAAGCGGCATGTCTTGATTCTGTAATGAGAGATTGTATAGTGAGAAATTGTTGAGTGACAATTGCGTGTTAGAAAATACCCTATTCACCTAGTGTAGCTCAGGAGTAAGACAAGGGTGCTTATTATCACCAATGATGATATTCCTAATTGTGGTGGACTGGATTATGCGTCGTCAGACAGTGGGAAACGAGAAGACACGGATATCCTGGACCGACGTGAAGAACCTAGAAGACCTGGATTTCGCGCGTGGATGATTTATGTTTGATGTCACACAAAATCGAAGACTTACTTACAAGCGAAAACCGACAAACTGGTCGAAGAAGCAGCAAAGACAGGACTCCAGCTGATGAACATAGACAAGACGGAGGTTATGAAAATAACCAACCAACCAACAACAACAACAGCAGCAACATCCACCGCCAATCACCATCAACGGGAGGGATTTGAAAGAGGTTACTTCATTCACTTATCTAGCTAGGGAGCATTGTCTCAACTACAGGAGGAACACGAGGATGTCAAATCGAGAATCGGAAAGGCGAGAAACACATTCATCAACCTGAAACCAATCTGGAAATCTTCGTCACTCAGCAACACTCAACAACAAAATTCGGATTTTCAATACAAACGAGTCAAGTCAGTCAGTTCTTCTATACGGATGGATCAGAAACTTGGTGAGTCACCAAGAATATTTCCAACAGCCTGTTGCAGACCTTTATCAACAACAACTGTCTTCGCTCTATACTGAAGATCAGATGGCCGGAAAGAACAAGAACCAACAAGAAACTATGGGGACAAACAAAACAAGAACCAATCGCCCAACAAATATGCAGGAGAAAGTGGAGATGGATTGGACACTCGCTGAGGAGGCCGCTAGGTGACAACGCACGTGAGACCATCGCTCGAGTGGAACCCGAAAGGGAAGCGGCGAGTGGGACGTCCAAGGGTGACATGGAGGAGATCGTGTGAAGAGGAGTTGAAACAGTATGGACTAACATGGATGCAGGTGAAAAGTACAGCAGAAGACAGAAGCAAGTGGAGACGTGCAGTTGAAGCCCTATGTTTCACTAGGAACCCAAGGGAACAACAATAATAATAATACCTAGTGTAGCTGAAAATAAAAGTGGATGGCTAGAGAGAAATCAGATTAGTTATCACTTTATATATGTACTTAATCACCTGTTTAGGTATCTAGAAAATGTAGACACAACATCCACTAATGTCCCTATGACGCGCAAAGTAAGATCAATGCTGAATCATCAAATCAGTCTCTTGAATTAAGTAGCTGGATGGCAAAGTCTAAGAAGGGGTTGACTGTTTTTGTTCATAGATGTTTACGATCTCTTTCTCACGTTAGGTGGTATAATAAGGTAAGTAATGTTAACGTTAGGCGTAGTGTTGGGCAAAGAGGGAAAATCAATCGAAGAGGCTATAAAGTTACCTTATTATACCACCTAACGCGAGAAAGAGATCGTAAACATCTGTGGTCAAAAACAGATAATCTCTTCATGTCTTCCGCTCTCAATGGCCACGTCTCACCACTCCGTCCTTCTCTATGGCAGTGAGACGTGGCCATTGAGAGCGGAAGACATGAAGAGATTATCTGTTTTGACCACAGATGTTTACGATCTCTTTCTCGCGTTATGTGGTATAATAAGGAAAGTAATGTTGACGTTAGGCGTAGAGTGTTGGGCAAAGAGGGAAAATCACTCGAAGAGGCTATAAAGTTACATAGATTGAGATGGCTAGGTCACGTGCTGTGCATGCCTAACCATCGCCTCCCCCTCCCGACAGGCATTACTAGCTGATATAGGTGCAGGTTGGAAAAGAGTAAGTGGTGCCATGCCAAACAAAAACATGGCATCAATCAATCCATGAAATCCCTGACAGTTAAACTGAGTCAGGTAGGGAGGGAGATGCAGACTTCCGGGTTGGGGCCCGCCCTCGGGACTCTCAGAATCAATGGCTGGAGACAGACAATAGGTGACATGGCTCAAAGTTGTTGTCAATGGCTTACGCAGATGTATTCAGTCTCTTGTGTAATCTTTCATATTCCTTTCTAGCATTACTCACTCTGTTTCACTCTTATACTTGTCAAAACTCTATTGATTCTCTTCATTCATCCATATTCTTGTCTACCTTTGTGTGCTATTTGGAACGTGGCAACTCGAACTGCTGCACTTTGGTGCCAAGTTCTATGTTGAATCCAGACAGACAAAGTCTAAGTCAGGAACACAGACTGTCTATGAATCCTTCGGAGAGTACCCAGCTAATCGAACCACAGCAAATAAGGTTACGTCACAACCTGAAGTTTTACAGTGCAACTACATATAGGGACTGAAGACCGAATACAAACTAATGGCTAACGTATGCTATAAAGTTTAAAATGGTGGCTGCTTTGAAAGAGTTAATAAATGGACCTATAACTGGAAGGCCGAAAACGATAAGATGACCACGAACAGGGAAACAATCAATTTTCAGCTTCCCACTACTAAAAACGAGAGAGCTGTTCTTCTGTATTAACATGGACTGGCCATAGCGCAAACGACAGAAATGCTGCTAAATGCTTTCAGAAAACTATTTCGTAAGCATGTTTAGCCAGAAAGTTTAAATGACCTCTATTATAAAGGTACAAAACAGAAAATTGATGAAGTCACGGCTTTCATCTGTACGCTCAGATCACGTTAAAGAAAGATCAAATATCAGATATCCTGACATGAATGTATTTACGAGAGCAAACGGTACCAGTTAGTCTTGTGTATAACGACGCTATTTTTCTTTCAAGCCAGCACGCATAGTACAGATGGTGTGTACCTTCATCACCCCCTTGAGAACTCATTAAGAAAGGTGTTAACATCAAGCCTGGTTAAAATTCCGACATTTTTTTCGGTTTTAAGTTCTAAACAGTGACCGGCTTTTTCTGGAATTTAAGTGTGACTTGAAATTCATTCAAATTGAAAGTAAGGCAAATATGACGCAAAAATTGATACATGAGTTTCAGAATCGCCAAAATCCCAAGCTGCTATGCAGTCATTTTTACTAGTTGACATCTTTCAGCTAACATAAAACGAATTTTCACCAATATTACGGAGCATATAGACTGTATTCAGTAAAATTTTCAGGCTGAGTCTCATGTATGAATCTAACTGTACGAGTACCATGGTGTGTCAGGAATTTAAGAAAATATTAGATATCAGACATACAAGAAGAAAATTCACCACCCGTTACTAAAACATATAATATGCTAACAATAATATGCCACACGAATTTGCTGGATTGCGAACTTACTCCGCTGACTACCTAAATGCCTCTCAACTAGTCCATTGGAATACCAAGGTATGGAGCGCTCTTGAATTCTCTATTGAAACGATCAAACAAACTACCATCAGTTTTCAAAGGTAAAATTTAGTCTGCTGTCATGTAATAATCCCTATAGCAAGATAGTGTTTCTGAATCTAGTTTTTGTTCCAATACGTTAGTCAAAGTAACTAAAGGGAAGAATACTGCGTCGGTGGCATAGCGGTTAGGACGCTCGCCGACCATGCACATGGTCCAGGGTTTGACCCGCGGCCGACGCACTCCTTTATCTCGCTAAGCCTGTAGCTTGAAGCCCTATGTTCCACTAGGAACGTGAAGGAATAAAAAAAGAAATAGTGAACTATGGGTTTCATGCAAACTCTCAACATCTAGTATTCAGTATCTCTTTAACAACCTAATGTGTACCAGATTGATTGCTTTATGTCACCGCGCGAACTTTGAAAAGGGAGTGAATTTTACACGCTCTTGTTTAGTTTTGGCTTTTGTTGTGTTATACGCTCCAAAAGTCTACAGATTAACTTTAAATCAGTTTATTCCGATCGAAGTTAGTTTACTTTTCAGATCTGAGTCTATTTAAATTATAGGAAGTTGTGTCTTATGACATAATAGTTATATACATATATTTTTGTGCACTCATTGGTTTTTATCACTGATTTATAAAGGTCTATATACATTTAAAGTCATACCTAAATTTCTTCCTCAGTTCGCTCTAGACGGTATGACCATCAAAAAAACCGCTGCGGAAGGGTTATGTGCCAATTCCCAGTGGATGACGGAATGCAGTGTGATAACTGCAAGAGATGGTTTCACAGTATGTGCACAAACCTAACTCCTGCAGCATACAAATGCTGCTGCAAACCTCTAGCAAACTGGTTGTGCAGTGACTGTTGTAATACTGCCAAATTCCGTATTACAGAAGCCATTGCCACTCTCAGTGGGGCTTTAAAGCTCACGGACTGCAAGCGTCCTCCACTACAGGAGAACACTGACTATTGCTCAGACAATGATGACGTGACCAGCGTTATCGACAAAACAGCACATGTCCCCGATGACCTTCAGCACAGAAGAGCACTCACCACATTTCAGACACCCAGGCTGCCCCCACGACACTGGATAAGCCCTCCAGTGACGGTAATGGAAAGACTGCCACAAAGGAGAGGCGTACCAGGGGTCGAAAACCTGCAGCTCAGGTCGCCCAGGGACTAGTGGATCAAGCCTCATCCACACCCGTGAGTAGCAGGCAGATAAATCCTACTACGATTAGCGAAGAGAACGCCAATGAATGGCGCGACGTAGTCTCTCGCAAAAAGCGAGATAAGGATAACACATTGGCTACACCGCCCACGAAGGACAGAAACACACTTACGCTGCAGAGCGAGAAAGCCACGGCAAGCAAACCCGATCTCTCTGACAGGTCGCTCATTCTCCACAAAGTGGAAGAGTCACTGGCCTCCGATCCCAAGACCAGATTTGAGCATGACCTTAACTTGGTTAAGCCCTTTTTAGACAAGCTACTGCCACAAACAGTATCAGGCATTACTATACACAGCGTATATAGGATAGGCCAAAAGCCTGACCCTAAAGTAAATCAGCCTGTACGTCTCCTCAAAGTCGTACTAAACTCGAAAGAAGATAGGGATGCTATTCTAAGCAACTCTCATATTCTTAAAGGACGAGGCATATATGTCCGCGCCG